GAGCGGGAAGAGGCTTGAAAAGATATTGTAGCAGATATTTCAGTAAATGTGTGAGCTCTTTTCTCCTCCATGCAGAGCTATGACTCAAAGTGGAGCAAAGATACTCAAGGTGGAAAACTATACTCAGTGCATTTTCACAGAGACCCACAGTCCAACAAACCTATCTAACTCAGCACACATAGCCTTAGCTCACATAAAGATTCCAGAATACTGTCTTTATTTGTTCCTGCCTACTCAAGTCTCAGCTCCTGCCCTCACTCGTTGAGAAAGGACAGTGTCCCAAATGCGAGGTATGTTTTTTATTTTCCATTACTTTCTCTTTTAAGACTCTATTGCAAGAAATATATACATTGATCATATCACTTATTGTACTTCCTTTTTAATAGGTCTAGTACCATTCTTTCAAGGCCCTCTTATCATCCTTTTAAGCTATTCTCAACAGAGAAATGGAAGAAGCAGCCACATCCTAGTAGGCTGATGACTCAATTCCTCAGTCTTACGTCACATGCTATCAGAATACACCACTCATTACCACTTCCTGGGCATTAATCTCCTAACAACTGCTTTCTGTCCTCATTGCTTGAAAGTTTAACTTCTAGCTCACAGCAACCTTCTCCATTCTCCCTGCATTAATAGCCCTCGGTGATTTGATATTCCCAGCGATGCTATTTTCAAATACCTGCCCTTTCAGGGCCTTCATCTTCTCTGCCAAATGATTTTATCTTTCACTTTACTCTGCCACTTATGCCCATGGAAGTACCTTCGATTTTATTCTCATTGAGCTATAATACCTCCAGAATTTCAACTATTTCACTGTCCAACTACCAAAATCTATCCTTCTAGTTTGCCTGGACCCAACCATCTTTGTATTTCTCAGTACCCACAACCCATTGATCTCACCACCATCTTTCAGTCTCAAACCCCCTTAGTGTCCTCATTTTCCGCCTTACCAGGTTAAATTACATGGTCCATCGTTGGAATCACTATCTTGCACACATCCTCAGCTTCCTTGTTCGTCTCTCACTTTATTGCATGCTTTAGACAAACAATAATCCTGGTTAGAGTCAATTCTCCATAATTTTGCTCCTGTACCCAAGACACTGAATGTGGCTAGAGAAAAACCTGTATCCAGGATGCCTAATCTGACTTTAAAGATGGCTCCTTTCAATTGGACCACTGTGATGCTGCTAGTATTCCTAATGTACTTGCCTAGTGCATTTACTCCATCATTCTCCTAAGTGGCTATTTCATATTTTTATATTAACATTGAATGCAGACATCACCTACATCATTCTCAATCTCTGTTTATACCTTTGCTGCTTTTCTTCAGAGAAAAATAGAAGCAATCGAAGAGAATTTCCACAAACTTCTCTCATCACTTCACCCCAAGACCTGTATCTGGCCTATTTAGCTTCCTTATCTCCTATTAGTATGGTTATACTGTTCACACCGTTATCTAAGGCTTACCTCCATAGCGGTATAGATCATCTGCTCTCACTTTTTCAAAAACATCACTCCAGGAATGTTCCTCTCTCTTCAGTATCACTGTTTCCCCCTTTCTAATAGAGTTTACCGTATGCAAACAAATATGTCATTTCTCCAAAACAGCAGGCATAGTCTTTTGTTTTCCTTCTAATGGTCCTTTTGCTGGGAATACTTTTTGACCAGATATCTGTCTGCATGGTTACCTCCCTCATCTTTTGCTTAAGTGTGACTCTTTAATGAAGCCTTCATTGGCCACTATTTTTTTTAAAATATATTTTATTGATTTTTTACAGAGAGGAAGGGAGAGAGATAGAGAGCCAGAAACATCGATGAGAGAGAAACATCGATCAGCTGCCTCCTGCACATCTCCCACTGGGGATGTGTCCGCAACCCAGGTACATGCCCTTGACCGGAATCGAACCCGGGACCTTTCAGTTCGCAGGCCGACGTTCTATCCACTGAGCCAAACCGGTTTCGGCTTCATTGGCCACTATTAACAATGGCCTATCCACTGAACTTTCTCTCCTCTTTCACTGATTTAGATAATTTAAAATATTGTACTTATGTCTTTTTTTTTTAATAGATCTGCTTATTGTCTCTCTCCTCAGTAAAATAAAGGCTACACGGGCACTGTCATTTTACCACTGCTATATCCCATGACCTAAAACATTGCTTAGCACACCGAAGGATGTACATAATCATTTGTTGAGTGTATGAGTGAAATGATTGAGGAAGCTATGGTTAACTATTTTCTTAGATACAGCAGTGGTAAAGAGAAGGGTACATCAATTGTACGCCAGATCCAACTGTGGGCAGTGAGCTCAGGCCTTGCCATCTGCTAGTTCACTGCCCTGGCCCTAGTAAGTGGTTCAGTTGAAGATATGTGCCATTTTTTGACAAATTAGAGCTAATGAAGGGACTTTTGTAGGAGTTATTAGAAGCTCTTTGTGCTGGAATGCTAAGTTGACAAGGTGTGTGTTTGGCCTTGTCAGCAAATACTTTTCCAGTTTTTAGGGAGTGTCAACCACAGAAGGAGGTCAGCGTGGAAAAGCAGAACGGGGGGGGGGGGGGAGGTGGGGGGGGAGGGAGGAATAGATTCCTGAGGATGTGATTTGAATCTTTTCCTGTTTTGACTGAAGCAGGAGAACCTGTGATCTTTTCTGTCATGTGATGTAATAAATTTTGGTCTAACCCAGTGGGAGATAAGATTTCTGTGACTTGGAGATGAATGGGTACTAGCTGCACCAGGTTGGCAGGTGGAAAGGAGCCAGTGATGAGAGAGGGTATAACTGATGGAGCCATGTCCTGGAAGAAACAGGGAGTGTGTGTGTATGTGGTGGGGTGGGCGGGGGGGGGGGAGAACAGTGTAGTCTGTGAATGTGGTCATTGGAATTGATGAATGGATATAGATAAGCTTAGAGGTGGAAGGAGAGGGAATTGAGAGAGATACACTGTGATGTTTTCATCTGCTAAGTGAAAGATGGATAATAGGGATGATGATAAAAGGGAGCAGATGGGCTGAAGTGCATGAACAGATAATGTGGAGAAATGAAAATGGCACTGTGAATGAATAATATATGTTGAACAACATCTCACTTCTGGGTATATATCCAACGGATCTGAAAGCAATGTCTTCAGGAGATATTTGCTGCACACCTGTGTTCTAAGTAGTGTTATTTCCAACAGCCACGAAGTGACAACAAGCCAAATGTTCATTGACAAATAAATGGATAAACAAAATATATATACATGCAATGATATACATAGCCTGAAAAAGAAAGTACATTCTGGCACATGTTGCAATAGGGATGAACCCTGAGGACAACATGCTAAGTGAAACACATGTGTCACAAAAGGAAAATACTGTATGGTTCCACCTATATGAAGTACCTAAATTAGTTAAACTCACAGGAACAAAAAGTAAATGGTGGTTGCCAGGGACTGGAGGAACGGGGGAATGTAAAGTTTTTGTCTAAAGGAAATAGCATTTAATTTTTATAACACAGAAAAGTTCTAGAGATCTATTGCACAACGATGTAAACATACTTAACACTTCTGAACTGTACACTTAAAAAAAAGGATTCTGATGAAAAATTTTGTCATATACTTTTTACCACAATTTATAAAAAGATGCCAAACAGCGTATATAGTCAGAGAGGAGATGGAGAGAATAATTTTTGGTAGCCAGTGAGCAGGATTTTATTTTCTCAATAGGTTAAATGCTGGAACAGAGACAATCAACAGCTGGCTTTAGAGAATGGCCAGAGAGAAGAGTGTGGTGATGCATGGGGGGAAGCTGATCGTTGGACAAATGTAAGAGAAATTCTTGAGGACGAGGGAATTAAATTTGTGATTTAAGACTTTGGCCAAAAAAACAAGGTGGTGGTACCTAGAATGCATGTTAAATTACAAACTCTAAAACCCTGAGTATGTCTGTATTCAGGGATTCATTGAATCCAGAAAAATATCCTAGAAGGCACATTTTTTAAAGATAAAATTTATTTTAATAACAAATGTACATACTATTAAATGACATTTTATAAGCAGCTAGAGATTCTGATAAAACTGCCTATGAAACACCCAAAGTGTAAATTGTTCCCCAAAATGTTACAATTAAAACTTGACTCTCTTAAAAAAAAATTGTGCAAATGAGAATTACTGAGTGATTGAGGAAAGGCAAATAAATCAATGCCAAAAAAAAAAAAAACACCCCAATAACCAAAGGCAATATATTGTGAGAAGAATTCAAGCCAAGTGAAGAAGTGAAATATTTAATCATATCCGAGAAGAAAACTACTATTATAGTAAACTTCCCAACAAAGTTATGCGACTCATAACCACAGGAAATGCTTCATACTTTGCTTAATTAAAACCACACTATAACCAAAAGAATATGGTAACCGAGAATGCTGATTATAAAAAAAGAAGAGTCCGCGTATGAAAACAGTTCACTTTAGTGCCTTCCTAGGAAAGGTGACTCCTCAGAGCCTCTTATAGCCAAAGCCTGGCTCCAGGCACATCACAGGCGAGGCTTCAGAATGTCCTTGAAGAGCAGGTGGCAGTGACACTGGGCTCCCATCTTTCTCATCAGGCAAATGTTCTTTGTGCTGCTCGAGAATAAGTGCAAATAGGAAGGTACAGCTTAAGACATCATTTCGGTGATGTGGCGCCCATACAGAAAGGCTTGCTGATATTCAAATGGTTTCTTTCCAACCTGTGTTCAGCTGCATTTCAAGCACGAAGGCACACTGAAATAAGAGTTCCTGGTTAGGAGGCAGCATGAATAGCATTGGTTTGAGTCAAAGTTTAAATAATGGGAATATTAACATTTTCTGTATAGACCAATTATAAGTGCTAGAACCAATAAAGCATCAAGCCATAGTCTCATCCTCATTCATTCACACATTCATTGAATAAATACTGATGTAATAGCTTTACTTTGGGCCCCCACAGGTTTGGATTTAGAGATCACTCTGGCCTCCCCTGTTCTCCTCAACCACATTCTTCTGACTCACCAACAGCAAATAAACTCTTCTTGCTCCACTGCCACAGCAGTTTTTCTGTATCTTGCTTATCCTATATAATAAAAGGCTAATATGCAAATAGACCGAACGGTGGAACAACCGGTCACTATGATGCGCACTGACCACCAGGGGGCAGGCGCTTAATGCAGGAGCTGCCCCCTGGTGGTCAGTGCGCTCCCACAGGGGGAGTGCTGCTCAGTCAGAAGCCGGGCTCAGGGCTGGTGAGTGCAGTGGCAGTGACAGGAGCCTCTCCCGCCTCCGCGGCAGCACTAAGGCTATCCGACTGCCAGCTTAGGCCAGCTCCCTGTGGGACATCCCCTGAGGGTTCCTGGACTGTAAGAGGGCACAGGCTGGCCTGAGGGACCCCACGAACAGTGCACAAATTTTGTGCACCAGGCCTCTAGTGGTATATATTCTTATGTGTGTCTTATTTTTTATTTTACTATAAAAGTTCCAAGAGATCAGCGGTGGTATCTTTATTTTGTAGATTATGTAGGATAAAGCCGTTTGAAGTCAGATTTGAGCTTGAATGCTACCTTTGCCAATTAATGACCCAAATCTAATTTAAAACTGTCAGCAAATCCTCCGATCACTGTAAGAAAAATGTATGCAGAACCCGACCTCTTCCCACCAGCTTGGTGATAGCCACTCACAGCGTAAGCCTGGATAATTGTGATAGAGTCCTCAGTGATTCCCTATTTTCCACCCTTGGCATCTTACACTCCATTCTTAACATAGCAATTAAGGTGACCATTAGCTTTTCCTCTTAACCATTCCAATGGTTCCCAGCTTAGAATAAACACCAAGTTCATTCAATGACCTAGCACACTCCACATGATGGATCGTCTCCCCCATCTCCCCTTCCCTCTCTGATTTCATCTCTGCCACTTTCTCCCTTGGCCAGCCCACAGTGAGCCACACTGGCCACTGCATGCACACCACACCTTATGATCTTTGCACTTACTGTTCTTTCTTCCTGCAATGTTCTTCCCCCAATGGCTGGCTCCTTACTTCACTCCAATCTTCACTCAAATGACATTTTCCTAGTGAGGTCTTCCCTTCTAACTACCCTGCCCTCTCTATCCCCTTTTCCTGCTTTATTTGTGTTCATAATATTTTACTTACCATCTTCTTATTTATATTATTCTTACTCACTTTGCTATTTAAGTATTTGTTGAATGGATAAATGAATAAAACATAACAGGAATATTAATTGGCAACATGATCTAATTATATTCATTTCTATGCAAGATTTAAAAACTGCAAAAGAACAGTAAATACTTCACACTGTGCTTATTGATGAGTAGAATTTGAATAACATTTTGACATGGAAATTAATAAAACAATTTATTTTAATTAAATACCTGTTTATTTTCTGGTTAGCTTGCTGGGTTGTATGGATCAATAGAATATACTTCTAGTGTTTCTAAGCGAAGATCTCCTTCTGTAGGGCTTTTATTTGTATAATAATTGCTAAATGGAAGAAGGAGGAAAAAGTAAAATCTTTACTCATTGGCCATGATTACTACAAAGATGTAACAGTTGTTTTCTTTCCCTAATTCCCAACACATGATAAGTACTTTTCATGGATGATACTATTTTATTGCCCTAAGTAACCAATGAAATAATCGCTATAATCCCCAATTTTGGAAAGAGCCATAAAAATAAACGACTTGCTAGGTTGCTAAATGCCCCGGTCAAAAGTTGACATTACACAGATTTACTTTAGATCCAGGACTTCAATGACTAATAACTATGAATCCCCATTTGGGAAAAAAAAATCAAAGCTTTTTTTTTTTTTTTGGACATCATCATAGATTTACCTTTTGGGGACATAATCTTCAAATCTAACTTAAAAGGAAAATTTTATATTTGATGTTTGATACATAGTCATATACCACTGAAAGCTTTAAATGATTTTAAGTGGGTATTTTTATTTTTCCTCTTTGAAAGCACATATACTTTGCTGTGCTTCTAAAACCACTTTGCTGAAATTAGGAAAGGACAAGAAAATGTCATTATTCTACCATGTAGAACTCTGAAATAATGTATTACAAAATTGCTGGGAAACAAAGATTACTTCTAGGGTTACTTACAGCATTCCCCTAACTACCTTATTTTAGAGGTCAGATTATAGGAAGATACATTAAGAATGTTATAAAATGGTAATTTTGGGTCAATTTAATATTTAGATTTTATGAAAATATCTGAGATGCCTAGAAAAGAATAGTGTCTCCTTCAAATGTTTAGATGGCTTTTATAAATATTTAATTTTGTTACAAGACATCCATTGTAAAGTGATTACTCATCTCATTTGCAAAAAGTACTTAAGGCAGGTGAAATGTCTGAATCAACTATAAAAAAATAAATTGAATTTGGTTAGAAAATGGAAATAAAACAAGAAGGTGATGCTTAGGAATTTGGTTTAATATAAACATTTGGTTTCTATCAATGGAGGCACTTAAATAATAGTATGTGTTGTAATCATGTTAATAAACTTCATAATCATCATGAACATAATTATTTCAGGTTGTAGCATTCCCAAAGGTTGCATATTCTCCTACACATGCTATGTCTTGATAGGAAATTTAGGAAGGAGCATGAAGGAAAGAGATAGAGCCCACATTCTCTACTTATTTAAATGTGTTATTATTCTTGGCTAAAATTATCTTCTAACTTCCTGCGAGGAAAGGCATGCAAATGACATCCCTCTGTTGTGTTTTTGTTTGTTTTTTCTTTTGAGACCTTTTTCTCCCTTGAATTGTGTGAAACAACTGTTTCCTAACTTTCCTCCTACTTCTGACTGTTCCTTCCCCTCCTGCCTCTTAAGCATTACTGTTCTGGGATTGGTTTTCATCCTATTTTTACCTTTTAAGTTTTTTTTTTGGTGCCAAGGCTTCCATTGTGATGTAAACGTCACCTATCTGAATGCAGGCTCCTCTCTTGAGTCCTAAGTGGCAAGGTCAGCACGGAACTCACCATCTTTCCCCACAACCTGTCCTTTCCCTCTTTTGGTGAAACACTGGGACCATCAAATGACCTCCACTTGGCTCGTTCTCTGAGGCCCCTTCTCCCTCCTTTCCACAAGACACTCAGTCCTGGAAATCCTAGGCTCTCAACAGTGAAGATGCATCCTGCCTCTGCTCCATCCTCTGGATCCCCTGCCACTGCTGCTTCCGCTGATGGCCCAACCCCGCCCCTTCTCTTAAAAATGTGAATCTGAACACATTTTTCTCTTGCTTCAGGTCCTATAGGATAAACCCTAACTCCACGTTATGGCCTGAAGGCTTTTGATGATCTAGCTCCTGACCACCTTCTTAGATTCCCCAAGTGTCTGTTAAGTGGAACATTAGTTCCACGAGTTGTTAAATGCATTATGTGAGAGAGAGAGAAAGAGAAAAAAAAAGAGTTGTGTAGTCGAATCAGTTTAGGGAACATTGGGTTAAAAAACATGAAACTGGCTTCTTTATTGTAGGACTTTACAGAAAAGATGCCAATTTCTCACAAATTAATCTATAGACTTAAATGAAATCACAACATGTCTGTTTTTAGAAAATGACAAATGATCTAAAATCACCTGAAAGAACAAACAGAAGAGAATAGAGGAAAAAAAACCTAAAAAAAAAAAGTGATAGCGAAGGAATTCCTACCCTACCAAATATTATAAGAGTAGAAAGCCATACTTATTAAATACAAAGTGATTTTGATAAAATAGATAAATGAAGCAGAAAAAGGAGCCCAGAAACACAAAATATGCAAATATATTAATAATTTGATATTTGATCAAGTTAGGACAAACTTTCTGGAAAGTCATTTGGCAATATTTATTATGCGTCTTAAAACATCATACATTTATCCCTAGAAATTCTAGAAATCTATGCTCTGGAAATAAGTACATGTATGTGAAAAGGTTTATTAAAGGTGTTCATCATATCTTTATTATTAAGATAAATGTGGAAGCAACCTAAAATTACCACAGTACAGACATACATGAAACAGAACAATAATCTATTATATAATTAAAAAGAAAGCATTTCAAGACACAAAAATATGTACATACACAAAATGAAAAAAAAATAAGGTAGGAGATTATAATGTCAAAATCTCAATTTTAAAGGAAAAAAGAATGTAAGAAAAAGATCAGATGGGATATACCAAAATACCTGCATTTGTTTCCACTAGGATTTTTGTCTTTCTGCTTTCTAGAATTTTTGTGATGAGTCATCTGATTACATATGATTTAAATACTCGCCCGATATCATTTAAGATCTGCCAGATAGGGCTTCCCGTATGTTGCATAAAATGCCACATTCCAGTTCTCACATTGCTATACTCCTTTCAAGTAACTTGTGCTTCCATGTTTAGTTTCAGGCAAGAAGCTAAAACCTTAGTGAATTTTGGTCAAGCATGTATTGAACTTACCGTTTTCTGTGTTTGGGTATCAGGTATAAGGTGACAGCAGTCAAGAAGAGAAGAAATAGCAAACCTACAGAAAGGCCTAGAAAATAAAACAGCAAGTATCAAATGCCAGAAAAATGTGACCTATATCATTTAGAAGTGATCGTGGGGCCTAGTCCTAGTGGAGGGGAGTATGGTATGTTACTTTTATACTTATCCTTTCTCAGCCATGTAAATGTTGAATTCCTAAATAATGATACATGGGCTTAAGGTTTTTCTGATTCAATCTAGTCCACATTTAATCTAAAGCACCAAGCATTTAACGACATGGTTCCAGTCAAGCTCTGTGGAGCTTTTCTGTTCCTTTCAGTTTTAGTAGTAATATTCCAGTCACTGGGGTAAAATTAGGTGCTCAGAAGACCAGGACCCCACAATTGTGTATAACATCTGACTGTCAGTTGCGAAATAGTTTTTCTACTGTAAAATAAGCCAGTCTATTCTGATAATGCCAAATCATGCTAAAGACTGAGAGTTAATGTAAACTAAACTTTCAACTTAAACACTGAGAATAGCTGGCTGTTCTAATTATTTATACAACTCTACCCAAAAGTGACAGTTTGTAATGTGAAGGGCACATTAAAAATTCCATAAACGCCAAAAGAGGTGAATTTCTTATGAGTTAAAGAAAAAAATTACTAATACTCAGGCAGGATACAGGACCTCACATTTTATATAAATTTTTATAAAATATCATTTAATCAAATTCATGAAAACAGAGATACTACCCTCTAAAGTATTTAGGTGTAAAGGGTCTGAATCTCAAATTGTTTTGCAACGATAATAATAATGTGTTGGATATACGTAGGTAGAGAGATGTAAATGGATTAAAGCAAATGTAGCAAAATTAAACAATTGGTAAATATAGTTCAATTATATATCGGATCTTTTATTACAATATTGTTGTAACTTTTCTTTAAGTTTGAAATTATTTCAAAGTATAAAGTTAAAAATAAAATAATGACCTAAAACTGTTCAAAGTTTTAAAAGTTTATTTTAAAAAGATCATTAGAACATTTTTTTAAGTAATTAAGAGAACTTACCACCAACAAGAGGAGTGAGTGAGCCTAAAAAGAATCCAAAATCATGAACATATTAGTCTAGTTGCATGATTCAATGAAGTCCAAAGACCTATGGCAATGTCTGAAGTTAGCATTCACTCTAAGTTATCACTCCTATCTCTCTAATTCTATTTAAAAATATTAATTGGGACCTTAAGTCTACCCACTCTTCCTTCATTTTTTATATAACAACTCATTGGACTTTAAAAATATTTTCACTTTAATTAAGTTGGAGTAGTTCACCAAATAAAAAACCAATATGCTCAGTGTAACCAGGGATTTCTCGGGTTAGAATGCAAATATTAAGTGTTATAACTGGTTTGTTAACATATTTTTTGAGGCCCCTGTCAAATCGTTAAGCACTGATAAACCAAGATATAGCAATAAGGGAAGTCTCAGCAGCAACTTCTTACAAATGTAATGTTAGCTTTGCACCTTTTAAGTTAGTGTTCCTCTACTTTCTTTCTTTACTTCCCTCATCCTCAGAAAGTTCTACTTCTTCTAGATTAGATAACCTACTTCAAATCTATCATATCACTGGTTACAGGCCTATGTCAATTTAAAATCCAGGAGTCCTTAATACTGAGGGATACCTCTTACTGTCTTTCTCTAGTGAGACGAGTATCAGCAAAGTCCCTTGTACTTACCTTGTGATTTGCAAACAGCCAGGGGAGGGTTCCATCCGTGATCCTCCAGGCACTGGCTCTGGGGACTGCCTTCCAGGGTATATCCCTCTTCACACTCCAAATTAACAACTGCTCCATGCTGGTACTTTTTCCCAGACTCCAGCCCCTTCTGGATTCCATTCATATACTCTGGGGAGCTACAGTTTAACTCTGAAATGAAAGGAATCTAATTTACCCATGAGGTAGACACTGCTCTTAATGGAAAGTTCTATGGAACCATTAACTTAGTTAATTCTCAGTAAAGAAACCTTCCTTGAAATAACAAAATGACAACCTAGGTAGAGTCTTTCAGTGTCAGCCATCTATTTCAATAACCTCTAGGTAACTTAAGCCTGATTGTTTTCCTGCCTTTTGCTCTAGTTTCTAACTAATAGCTGGTTAATGTTAATGACTTGTTAGGGCTAAATGGGTACAAATTCTAAATTATTGTTTTATCAGTACCGACTCTTACTCTCCAATTCTTCATACACGTACATACTTCCTCTTTTCTTCTTTCATCTCTTCAGTGTAGGGGTCAGTCCTGTGAGATTTTGGAGATGAATCCTGACTCTAGGACCTCCTAATGTGTGACCTTGGAAAAGTTATAAATCTCTTCATTCTACTGAGACTTCATCTCTAATATGGGAATAATAATGGCACCACCTTCATATGGTTCTCAAAAAGATTAAATGACAATGCACTCAAAATGCAGTGCACAGTATCAGACATACAGCCAAAAGTGCTCAACAAATATTACATATTAACTCAATTCTCATATTCCATATGCTTAATGAAACATAAAAAATATACCCATAATCCTACCATCACTCAAAGGAAATACATTGAAAAAAAATCATTGTGCTTTTTCATTAGTATTTTGCCAGATGCATACTTATAATAACTACAATCACTGTGTAACTTCAATCTACACTTTGGTTGTTTAATTTACATAAGCATTTCAATTTTCTGTATTTAAATGTCTTCATAAGTGATCACTCAACAGAGACTACACTCTGAGTCATTTTTCTTATTCTGTGGTATTTATATCAACTACATGTATTAATCCAAGGAAATACATCTAATTAAATTATCTAACTGAGGCATTTATTTGGTGACTTTAAGTTGAAAGTACCTAACTGCATATATTTATTTGGGACAAATCTGAGTTAAAAAAATAAATAATGCACCTTTACAAAGAGGGACAGGGTGGCTCCAGGTGCCCTCGTGTGTGCAAATAAGGAGTGCCTCTCCCACCAGCAGGTAGCCTTCGTCACAGCGGTACACGATTGACATTCCAGGAGAAAATCGAGCTCTCTCGCCACCAGTATGATTCCCATTGGACATCTTAAATGGCAGTTGACATCCTACGAAGGCTTAAACACCAATAAAAAAGGGTCTTTAATTTAGTACAGAGGAACACATAGCCAGCACTATCTGTGAGTGATGGCCATATAGGAAGAATGCCGGCAACAGGCCAACCAATTGGTATCTAGTAATACCCATTCCACACAAACCCAACAGTACTGGCCAGAGATTTCCACTGCCTACATATGGGGTATATGACCTGAAGAAAAATGTCAAAAGTAAGATAATGAAACCTCAATGGTTGCAGCCCACAGTTGTACTCTATCAGCCAATAGTATTCTTTCATTTTCCTTTTAAATAGCAGAAAGCTTGTACTCTAAGGGTCACCCAAGTAGCCATGGAGTGAAGCCACCAGATATGACAAAGGGGAAAGAATGTGCCCTTCTACAAATGACAGCCAAAGCCCAATTCAAGCAACTGTCGCCTTGGAGGAAAGCAGAGGGGGCCCTCGCTGAATCACAGGTTCAACATTGATCTTGGGCTTGGATATGGGTTTCACGTAAAGAGAGACTACTGTGTTGGCCAAAGAGAACAGTTCTGGTGAGCTGAATTCAGTTCCTGTGTCATTAGTTGCCAGTCCCTGTTGTACATGGTCACCTAGTCATGGACAGGAATGTAACTGATGAATGATAACTAAAATGACAAGAAAGACAATTCACTGGGTCTGAAGGCCAGCTTCATGCCTCTGAACACCAAAAGTTCTCTTTCTAACTGGTATTATAGCCTTAAATATAAAATTATCAAGCGATATTACTGCCAACATTTACCCCCTAAAATGATAAGTGAATTTTTATTATTCTAATTTAAGAAAAATAATAAATTTTGTAGAAGCCATCACTTTGGAAGTTAACCATAATCCTTTCATGTACTTTTGCTCAACTGACTTAGTAAGGAATGGGGAGGAGGGGAGAGAATTCACTGAGAGGATAAGGCAGGTATCTTGAAAAACACTATCATTGTTTTAACATTTACATCTTTTTCTTTAGCTCAAATGGCAAATGCAGATTCAAAAAACATTTCCTTATTCTAAGCAACATCCCATAGTTAACTTCTTAAAATAACTTACCCTTTTTGATACACGTTGGTACACCTGGCACCCATTTGTTATTGGTATGGCACCTAATCAAGTCACTGCCATTCATGATGAAACCCTGGTTGCAGGCAACATATACAATGTCATTGTGGGAATATGAAGAACGAGTTTTATTCAGCGTGTATCCATGTTTGACTTCTGGGTGAGAGCAGTGGGCCACAGGAGGAGGTTTAAAGCACCGTGGGGGAGGTGCACTCCAAGATCCATGTCCTTCAGAATCACTTATGCATCGGATGTTTCTCTCTCCCCGAAGAGAGAATCCTTGGTCACATTCATAAGAGATTTCAATTCCATAAAGAAACTGTTTTGCCATCACACCTGTGTGCCTCCCGTTGTCAATCACTGGTGGAGATGGACAGTGAATAGCTGCAGAAGAGATTCGAGAAATGCTGCTTCAGCTAGTGTACCAAGGCGGACAGTCGTCATTGGGATGCAAATAAAACTATGTGACTGCATTATGACACATAACCATACAATTATTTAGCTTTACAACCTGCATTGTTCTCATCAAAACAGCTTTATTAACATTTCTGATTATATGAGTAATACATATACATCCCCCAAATTTTAAAAATACAATAAAGTAATAAGAAAGAAATACAACTATATTAATAAAAATTAGAAATATATATATTATATATATAAATACAACTATATATATATACTATATATAATTAGCAGATATATGCCAAATATATAGTTCCTACTTGACAACTTTACTTGTCAATGACAGTGCTGACTAAACTGTGAAAGATATTTCTTATCTCAGGTACATTGAGATAGAACACAGATAGTTGAAGTAGTTATAAGCTACTTCTTATGTGGCCTGCCATTTCTAACCCCCAACCACCTCACTTATAACTTTAATTTTTCTCTTACCTTCACAGAGTGGAATCCTTCGGAACCAAACCCCAGTCTCAGCATCTTCACACTTCTGATAAGTATGCCCAGTCAGCTGGTACCTAGAGAGAGATTATCACACATTTCTTTTTCCCAATATCACGTCTCTGAAACCTCACCTCCTCATACCACAAATACACAGGAACTCCTACACAAGAACTTCGGTACAGAGGAATGAAAACCCTTGACCCTCCCAGTAAGCAGACTTTTTTAGATGGGAGTTGCTCACAGCAAAGCTATTTCCATGTCAAAAAAAGAACTAACAAGTCAGAGATGCTACTTAGACTTTTGGAACCTGATATTCTCTGTGAGTGTGGCAATGAGGAGCCGAAAAAAGAGTCACCAAGACAAGCTGAGGGTGCAACTAATGCACTAAACCAAGTGGGGTCCCTCTCTGGATGGATCATCTCATACTCACCCATCTTGACAGGATGTATTAACCTGAATCACACGCGAATCAGCTAGAAGCTCTTGAACATCTTCTCCCGCAGGCTCACATGGTGCTTCTGGAGGAACACAGCTGGAATTACTCACACATGCTTGCTATCAAAGGGAAGGCAACTCTGGAGCTAAAGTACCTTCACACCGAGGGGCAGAAGGACTCCAATTTCCGGAAGGCATACAGTGAATGGATTTGTTTCCCACAAGCGAGTAGCCAGGGTCACAGGTGTAGTCTACAGTCATCCCAGAGACAAAGAGGACCCTGTTTCCGCCTGTATGCCGACCGTGGTGCAGCCCCGAAGGTGGCTGGCAGTCTGAAGGAAAAACTTCCCACATCAATACCAACAAAAGAAGAACTTATACTCAAGAACATTAAGAGTACAACATTTGACAACAGATAATCTTAAACATCTTAGCCAAGGATCATAAAGCTCTAATTCATTACTGAATGCTTTCTGCTCGTTTGAAAGAACTAGACTTCTCAGTATCTACCTTGAATATATTCTGGATACAAGAGACATTCACACAAGGAACATATACAACACACATAGAACATTGTTACAGATCAAAGCAATAGGATAGTAATCTGTGCCCCATTGACTTTTTCCGTGAGTGTAGTTTTGGGTGGGAGATGAGAATAGTAAGTAAATACCTTATTTTTCCCCATTGGGCTGTTTACCTTTCTCACAAACGGGTATTTCAGGATCCCAGGTGTCATTGGCTTTGCAACGAATCTCACTGCTGCCCTTCAAAGTAAATCCATCAACACACTTGAATGTCACACTGTCGTTGTAGACATATGGGGCTTCCTTGCCCGATATCTGGTATCCATTTTCAAGGTAGGCATGTGAGCACTGAACAGCAGGGAGGGAAAGTTTACAGAGAGGAGCAGGGCCACTCCAGATGCCCCTCTCCTGACCATCTTTTGTACAACGGATGGTGCTCTCCCCGATGAGGCTGAATTCTACGCCTTTCTCTGGCCCAGGGTTACAGGAATAAGTGACTGTGGTTCCATATGGAAAGTCTTCTGAGGAACTCCCTGTGTGTGCCCCATTGTCGATAACAGGGGGCCGTGGGCAGGTGATATCTGGAGAGATGAGAAGTGACCATATCATTCTGTTTCAGTTTTAAACACCAAAGAAGAGAAAGGAAGTTGGCTATGAATCTGTTATCAAATTTCCTGGAGGATATGGGTGAGTTTTGATGATATGCGTTATATCAAAGCTCACAAGTGAACATGTACATCAATATCATATAGTGAGGGAGTAAAGGCCTGTAGTAAATTATTAATTAAAACAAGAATTCTTTTTTAAATAAACAATAGATGAATAAAAGGTAGAGGGGCATAGAATTAAGCCTTTTTTTGAGTTTCATCCTTGTGCGGAGGTTATTTGATAGTTGAGTCAAGAATACTTATTGTTGATTGAGTATCTACTTATTGACACACAGTTTTATCATTTAAAAAGTAGAGATAATACCATGTAGGTAAAATAACTTTAAAGTCTGTAATCTTATGCTGAATTTATAGGTGAGGGGATAGAATTTCAAAGAAGTTACATAAATCACCCAAGATCATATGAAGCCATAGATACAGAATAAGAGATTAGATCCCACACCAATCTCCTTTTCTCCCCAAACTACAGCTTACCCCAAATTAAACATGGTGGCTCATATACTCGCTGCTTTCATCATCTTATACACTTAAATTACAAAAGAGCATCAGTGACAGAACACATTTAAATTAAGTGCTTGCTATGCTTCGAAGTGGATAGAGATGACAGTACAAAGACAGAAAAACTGTTGACAAAGTTAATGAAACAGAGACTAATATTTCTATTCCCACAACATAGCCTAAAAGAGAAATCTCCCAGGGCACACATAGGTGTCACTCACCTATACAAAGACGAATCTCCATAAACCAAGGAATGGTGCCTTGACACAGCTGATAAACACTCTCACCTAACCTGGACCTAGAGATAGAGTCGCGTCATTTTGCCGTCTAGTGACCATTAAACTAAGCAAGCGCTATTGGCTCAAAAGCAGACTCACCACGTTCAGGACAAGAAGCAATAGGAACAGAATGCAGCCAGCATCCGCTCCATCACCCATTGCACAGGAGTAGTTCCCATACATGGAAAACTAGCAAGATTAGCACTTCCATGGACACAGGCCAGGGAAGGGTCTTTGAGGTAAAAGCTTACACAGAGCCTGCAGTACGCGCTGATAAGCCAGACCCAGTTCAGGCTGAGCCAGCACTCACTCACCCTTCATCGCAAGAAGATTTAACATCTGGTCTAATCACTCGATTCTGGGGTTTTTTGTAGAGATACTTTCCTATAGGTTCACACTCTGCCACTAAGAAGAAGAGACGAGGATGAGAAATCAACTCAAGCAATCTCAAAACTACAAAACATCTGCATGCAAGTCCTGATACCTTTGCATTTGGGGATAGTGGGAATCCACACCCCCTCAGAGGTGCAATGTATGGATTCCCTGCCCACCAGCACATAGCCAGGGTCACAGCTGTATTTTATGGATGTTCCAGGCTCAAAGCGCATCCTGTGTCGATCTTCCTTTTGCCCATTGAGGATTTCAGGAGGGGCTTGGCACTCTACAAGAAAGAAAAAAATTTTATTGTCTAAACAACAGCAACATGGAGAAACAGCCAAAGAAATGGGCATTAATACTGTAATTCCTCCCTGGTGGCAGCTGTATGATGCAGAAGGTATCTTACAGCCCAGCTTGGGGTAATTTTGGATCCCTGTTTCTCGATCTTTCCCTCTTCTTTGCACTTAGGCTGCTGCAGATTTTGTTCAGTTTCCACTCGGTGCTTTACCTCCTCTCATTTCTTCCTTTCTTAAGGAATCACCTCATATGATCTCAATGGGAGATTCTCATATACCCATGCAATGGGGGCTTTGATGACCTCCCTTTTAAGAAATCAGTATTAACACAAATACACATTTTTCCCATAAAGAAATGGGCAACTTAGTGGTTCCTAATGTTATTTTTCCCAAGGACACTTCTACGAAATGAACAAATGGTGGGTGTAGTGTGTAAAAAGCCTTCTACATAATTTATAAACACTATACAAACTGAAAAATAACCTGCTTACACCCAAAATCCCTACTTATAATTCTTAGAAAAGAAGAAATCAGTAGAACCTTTTCTTGGTCCTGGAACACTCACCCTTTTCACAGACTGGTGCAGAGGGCTCCCATGTGCCTTGGGCACTGCACCTTATTCTCTTGCTACCTTTCAAGGTGAAGCCCAACGAGCAATCAAATGCCACAGTGTCATTATATGAATATTGATCTTTCTGCCCAGATGATATTTGGCCTCTTAGGATCTGGGGAGGTGGACAGTGAATTCCAGGAGTAGAAAGTTCGCAGCGCGGGGCAGGACCACTCCAGATCCCAGTCTTCTGACTATCAGTGGTGCAACGGAGAGTGTCCTTCCCGATCAGGATGAAGTCCACTCCTCTCTCTGGGCCCGGGTCACAAGTGTAAGTGACTGTGCTTCCATATGGAACGTTCACTGAAGGGTTGCCTGTATGCCTTCCATTGAGAATAGGAGGAGGTGGTAGGCAAAGGATTTCTAGAGAAATTAGAGAGAAATGACAAGGTTGTAGCTGTACTACACATAAGAAAGCCTCAGACTTGATGCCACTCTCATCTCCTAGGTTCAGGGTCCTAGGATATTTGAATTGCTGATGAACCATCAAGGCAGCTATCTCTCTATATAAAAGCCTAAGTGAACGTTATGACTGAACAACTGAACGACCAGAATAACCGGTCGCTATGATTCAACTGCCCCCTGGTGGTCAGTGCATTCCCACAGCCAACCTCCCGTGGCTGGCCAACTTCCTCCTGTCCCTCCCCATGGCTGGCCAACCTTCAGCAGTCCCTCCCCCCATCTCTCCCCCTGACCAGGAGGCCCTGATTGGGACTGGGTGAGACAGCCCCAATCGCCCCGATTGCCAGCCAGGCCTAGGGACCCCACCCATGCACAAATTCGTGCACCAGGCCTCTAGTAACAACGTAATTGAAAAAATATATCTTGCTGATCCTTGGATTTCTGTTACTGAATACGCCCTCTCATTTATGTGCATGGCCTGGCTTACAAGTCTACTTAGATTTAGAGAAAGAAAAGCCTAGGAAGCCTGTTTTACTCGAATAAGCAGAGAATAGAGAGGTAACTGAAGGATGCTTCTGTTATAAGCCTTAAAGATGTCTCGGAGAGATATTTGCTCTATAATGTTCTGTATAGTAATGACTGAATCAACATCTTTTAGTTAAAAGAATTCAGTGCTCTGTTGAGCCTCAGGTAAGTAACTAGGTTCAAACCACAGTTTGCATAACCTACCTTCACATTTTGGCATCTTGGTCCATAAGGCTCTCTCTCCAGCAATTACACACTGACTAGAAGGTTGGCCTCGTAATCGATAGCTGGAGACAGAGGGTGGTCATTCAGAACTATTAGACAGTTGGTGATATGGATCAATAACCTCTACTTCAATACAAACTCATTTAATTTGTGTGCACCGACTCTTATTAGCATTATTTCTCATAACCTCACCCGCGGCTCTCCACAGATCCTCACAGAGGAGCCTTCACAGGTCATACTACGCATGGAGAAGCCCAATGAATTCAATCTCCTAGGTCCTCCAGACACTCACCCTTCATTACAGGAAAAGGTTATAGTTACGCCAACTCGACGACTTGCAGGCCCCTTTATCTGGCCATTGAGCAATGTTCCTGGAGCGTCACACTGGGCCTCTGTGGAAACAAGTCAAAGATGCACAAAGCAAAGCCAAATAACAGAATAGCCTAATTTCTGAAAACTGATTGTAAATTTGGGGTACCTTTACATTGTGGAATGACTGCACTCCAGTCTCCTGAAGACAAACAACGGATTGTCTTTTCTCCAACAAGCAAATAGCCAGGTTCACAGCTGTAAGTCACAGACAGTCCAGGGACAAAGAGGCTGACATTCTCTGCTGTGTGATGTCCATTGGGGATCATGGAAAGTGGTGGACACTCCCGGGGGAAATCTTTACACACACACATTAGAACAAAAGGCCATCAGATGATACATCCTTCACAATCTAGACTTTGACATAGTACATTCACCCAACTAAATGGCACTTAATCTGTGGTAACCAGTCATCATAAATTTTCAACTCATTCTTTAAAACAAGTGTGATGTAATATCCATTTTATACACCATAGAGTTCCTTATTTTCTATTTTTAGTTACTCTTTATGATTTTGTGAAGTTTTTCATTTACCAAAAAAATAGTCCATTTTTACAAATACTCTCATCCTATCCTTAAGCCTATTCTCTGGTCCAAAAGTCACATGTTATTAAGGGGTTATCCTGCTAAATATTAGTAATATAGTTTTATAGAATACCATATGTGTTACATATATACATACATATTGGGTGAGTATATGTGCACTCACATCTTATTCTACATCTTTCTTTCTTTGCTTAATAATCTGCTTATGTTATCTTCTCATGTCAATACATATAGGTCAACCTAAATCTTTATAATGGCTTATTTTCTATAGTCACTCATATTGTGGCTATCTTCAAACCTTCCTTACCTCCAAGATTATATATCTATCTACAAATATATAGAATCATATTTTTCTAATAGTTTTTCAGCTTGATTGATTTAGAATCAATTGATATTGTTCTTCACTAAGAAAAGAAATACCTACTTTTTATTATAATAGGTTGTCAAATATGATAGTCCCTGTAATTGTACGATTAAAATTCAGATTTAGATTTCTGCAACAACATAAACCTCAGTAAAAAATAAATGAAGAGCCCTGATTGGTTTGGCTCAGTGGATAGAGTGTCGGCCTGTGGACTGAAGGGTCCCAGGTTCGATTCCGGTCAAGGGCATGTACCTTGGTTTTGGGCACATCCCCAGTGGGAGGTGTGCAGAGGGCAGCTAATCGATGTTTCTCTCTCATCAATGTTTCTAACTCTCTATCCCTCTCCCTTCCTCTCTGTGAAAAATCAATAAAATATTTTTTTAAAAAAATAAATAAAAATAAAATAAATGAAGAACTTATAGTAATCCTTACTTTCAAAGTCATTTGATTTGAAATGTTATGTCTGAGGAGATGACTTGGCAAAGTAGTGCATCACTTCAGAAAGTGTTTATAGATGTCTCATAGAACAGGCATCATTTCTGCCAGACTGTATTAACATCTATTTACAGGTGGGTTCTAAAACATTGGGTATATTTCTTCTTATTTTAACATTAACTCATATAAGTTGTTTAAAACCACACAATTCACACAGTACCATCAAATTCTCATCTTGTGAGACTCATTCAGTTCAATTATTAGGTGTGTTCAATTACTTTTTCTCATCATACTTTAAAATTTTCTGTTCTATTGATGTTTGTTAAATGAACATCCATGCCCTTGGTGACAAAAACTAAAACTAAAACAGGGAACGATAATTTTCACCCTTTGCCATGCTTCCCCCTTCACCCCTACCCTTTACACATCGACACTGTTCTTTGTTCACAATGATACAAAACGTTATCTGCAGAGAAATGCAAGGATACACCCCCCCGATTCAGGTTGAGTTTCTCTCTTACTCACCACTCTCACAGGTTGGTAGTGGTGTCGGCCCCCACCTTCTATTTGCTTGGCACCAAACGGTCTTGTTTCCTTTCATGGTGAAGTTGGCATCACAGGTAAAGGTCACAGAATCACCATGTCTGTATGGTGGTCTAGATCTTTTCTCTTTGTGTCCCCCTGGTACTACAGGCTCAGAGCAAGTAGATCTTCTGTTGTAATATTCACATGTAGGAGCAGGTTTATCCCAGATTCCTTTCACTTGGTCTTTACTTATACAAAAAAGATTCTTTTCTCCAATGATGCGGTAGCTAGGGGGACAAGTGTACCTCACCAAAGTGTTAAGAGGTATGGGGCCAGAAGCATAACTATTCCAACCATTTCGGATAGGAGGAGGAGGATCACAAAGAATCCCTGAAAAATAGAAAAGGAAATATGTGGTGATATTGATTATGACAAGAAAAAGATTCAGATGTAGATTAGAGCTCCAAATATAGTTTATGTCACCTTATCAGAAACAGACTTAGAAATCTGTATAATTTATTTCTTAGGGACTCAGAGTCCCTACTTATCCCCAAGCTCCTAAATTCTTACCTTTCTTTTGCTGCTCAGCAAACACATCAATATAGGACTTAAAAGTACCATCTTGATCGAACAATGACAATGAAAGAGAATTTATTAAATAATTCTGAGTCTAATCAATTTTAATAAAACTAAAGGCAAACAGTTGTGAAAATAATATGTTAATAACATGCTAATCACATGTGGGGAGGTACCATGGACTAATGAAATATGGACTCAGACCTGGTCTCAAATTCCCACTGTCATTGAATAGCTGAGTGACCTTAGGCAAGTCTTACCCTCTCTAAGCCTCAGTTTCCCAGTCTATTGTATAAATTAAGCTACTTCATAAGGTTGAAATGAGAACCCAGAGAGATGCAAGTACCTGAAAGGAACAAGAACAATACCTGAAATGTACAAATTATCGGATGCCTATTTCAAACACACAGTGGGGGCTACAAGTGGTGAATGCACATTCTTCTCTTCTACGAAAGGGACTCAGCCTCACTACAGTCATTTCTCACCCTTTGATGCTGAATCCCTTTGAAAAAGCCACAGGAAGTGATCAAGAGTTTGGAAGAATGACCTCATATTTTTAAGATACTTGTCATATTGTTAATTATTTATAGCTGTGTTGGTAGATGCACACCTTTCCTGAGTGAGTCTCAGAACAAAGGGAAAAGTGCCAACCTCCAGAACGGCTGGTTGATTTCCATTTAGCTCCAAGAGCTTCTCATCAGGAGAGGTACTAGGATAGGAACACACACCACACCATTTCAGCACAGCAGTGCTGCTCGGTTCCAGTGGGATAAGAGCGTTTACCTTAATATAAATAGAAGACTCAATATGAAGTCAACTGAATAAATTCAGTTTTGGTCTGCATGGTAGAACATACCGAAGAGTGGCATGTACATGTTCAGAGTACACATATGGATAAGATGTTATAAGAGATAAATGCACGAGAACACACCAAAATTCAAGAGGCAAGATTCGTACTTATTTCGCTTCTACTCACGTTCACAGACAGGAAACTTATTATTCCAGAGTACTCTCATTCCTTCAGAGACACACTGACTAGAAGATTTGCCATTTAAACGGTACCTTAAACAATAAGGGGCAGCAAATCATCATCAGAACAAACCAGTTCTCAGTTGCATGGACTTAATCACTTCTCTCAAGTAAGTGGTATAAATTAGCTCTATTATTTTCAGCATTTAAGGGTTAAGGAAAAAAGTCCAGCATTAAGGAAAAAGTCCAACATCAGACCAGGTGAAGACTTCAGAAATATCCTAACAATCACATATTTTTTTAAAAAAAAATTCTCCCTTTTCTCTTTGGTATCCAAATGTCAAGATTCTCTTGACCATGTAGAATGAAAACAACCTCATGTTCAAAGTAAAGAAGACATCAAAGATCTTGTTCCCTAAGTTCACCCAAAGAGCCCCTCTTACTAAACCCCTATTATCTATTCATCTCCAAAAGAGGGGCCTTAAATTGTGACCCCAAACTTTGCTTTTTCAATTGATAAGTGGGTAACTCCCAGTTTGGGCTGGCCACGCACAATACGTACACTTGAAGTAAACCAGTAGGGTTTGGTTAATAAGAGAATGAGAATTCTTAATTATAAAAGGGAAAAAGGCTAAGACAGGGGGAAGAACCGTAACTGTCTTTACAAATTACATTTTGCAATGCTTAACTATGAGTCATGGTCTCAGTTCAGGCCCTGTCACCTCACACTCACCCCTCATCACAAACAAAAGAAACCTCTGCCCCCAGCTGGAGATTAGGAGGAGCCACCACCTGGCCATTGAGAAGTTGGTTTGGGATGGCATCACATGATTTCACTAGGGGGAAAAAAAAGAGACAAGGCTAGCACACTAAGAGTCAGTTAACAGTTGAGTTCCCTTAAGATGGAATAGAGCTTTAAGCACCTTCACAATTGGGGGCTGTCTGGCTCCAGGTTCCCAAGGATGTACACCATATAGGGTTAGTGCCAATGAGAGTGTAGCCAGGCTCACAGCTGTAGGACACTTTCTCTTCAGTTTCAAAGAATTCCTTATCCATTTTGTTATAAGTACCGTGGTGGATATGTGGAGGTGGTAGACACCCTGAGAAAAGAGCAGGACCAGAGGCTTTTTATTTCTGAAGTAAGAACTTTCTTCTCTACAACCTAAGCCAACTTGGGGTTGGTAGGGGTTGGGATGAAGATGGTCCTGTCACCCCTTCTCAATGTAAAGCAGAAATGCCTTTGGTGAGGTGGAGGGGGCCAACATACATTACTGTTTTTAGACATGATGAACTATACCACCACCTGCTTTGTCTCTTTGGATCGGTACCAGGAAACATTACATCCACTCATCATTTTCCACTTCATTTAACTAAAATGACCTGGTTATCCTCTCACTAATATTGTAGTCAAGGGGTTCAAACTTTGGTAATACATAATCACTACCAAAATCGACCTCAATTTTCCTGCTCCCCAAACCAAAACGATGAAGGTTCTGAGTCATGTAGGAGGGGCTCCAAATGTTGCCTTTTTTTTGTAAGTTAGACATTTCTCAGAAAGAGTAGGGGAGAAAGGAAGAATGAGGGAAGAGACTCAATCTTAATTCTAACCTCATTGCATAAAGGCTACATTATTCAACATGAGCATGTATAATGTCTACAGTCTTTTGAATCAAATACTGACATTAGCAAACTTCCCCCAACCTCATGGCCAATAAGATTGAGAATTTATTTATCCCAATTTAAATAAAATGTAATCATGTTTTAGAAAAATCTCTGATCCTTGGCTCTGCTCTATTTCCTTTTTCCCCCCTTTAAGCATCTAAATTCCCCTGTACTATTCCAAAATATGGTAAATTTCCTACCTCTTCAACGTTAAGATGTTACTTTCAAATTCTTTAACAAGGATACCCAACCACCTCTACTATCTTTCTCCTCCTCTTCTCAAAGGCACCATGCTATCTACTCAATCAAAGGTCTCATTTCACTTATAGATCACCGAATTTTCAGCCCAACTCACCCTTCAAGCAATGCGGCAGTGGAGGGTCCCATTTATTGTTTGGTTGGCACCATGCCTTGTTGCTGCCTTTCATGGTAAAGCCAGGCTTACACTTAAACATCACAGTATCATTTAAGGAAAAGGAACGACTAAATCCAGATTCCATAATTCCATTTTCAACTTTTGGAAATGGGCATTTGACTAACTTAATACACTGAGGAGGAGGGCCGCTCCAGGTGCCAACTTGATTGTCTTTGCTGGTGCAAGATATTGACTTCTCACCCACGAGGTCAAAGAGCTTTTTCCCATTCGGTCCAACATGGCACCTATAAGTCACCACCATTCCATAGTAAAAGTTATCTGTAGTGCTGCCATCAAATGTCCCATTGGAGATGGTTGGGGGTGACTTACAAGGAATAGCTTTTTGGGGTTCGGTGGGAAAAGAAAGAAAACATTTTAATGTTATATCTTCTAGGAATGTTGTCTTCAGTCTTGCAAAATGAACTCTAATTCAACCTACAATTAACCCATTTTATTGAAATTATGTTTTCTTATCTCAAAGATGGTTATACATAGGAGGAGCAGGGTAGGAAGATGCATGAATCTTCCCTGATGAAACCTCAAAAAAAACCCACACAACACACACACACACACACACACACACACACACACGAACCTATGATCTGGTCAGTAGAGCCCATCCCCAGAACACAGATAAACTGTTGTAGGAGGCACCTGGGATGACCTACATTGTGCATGGTATAAACTTGGCAGTCTGTAATCTCATAGCATATTTTAGATTTAAACCCTTACTCACTATAAAATAACTTATCATCAAGGGAAAGTGCGGTAGGAATAGGAGGGAGTAGAAGAATGTAAACAGACCACACCTCTGTGCCCAGAACTTCCCAAACCAACTCTAACTTTCCTGGGTACTCATTTTGATACGTAGAGGCCTAATTTCCCTCTAGAAGGATATAAGCAGAATTACATAGGGTGCAATACAGGGATCATTTTACTCACATTCACAAACAGGCATGTCCCTATTCCAGGTTACAACATTGTCGGGTGAGATAACACATGTAGCAGATGATTCACCAATGAGTCGATATCTAAAGACAAAGAGATGAGTGATCATCTCCCCGCTACATGTACATTTTAGGAAAGCTTAGTTCTTTGTCCACTGAAAGAATGGCAAAAACATGGAAAACCGTGTATGACAAATAGCAGTAATAGACTAAGGACTCATACCAAAGGCTAAAGAATCTAAAGCCAAATAAAAGTGTAAAGCTAGAGATTTAAAATTGGAAGAGGGAAGACGGGGGAGTAGCCCAAGTGCCTTTTTGTTTTCTAGGGATCCTCTCCAGTGGATAATCCTGAAAGGTAGTCTACAGAGCAGTTCAGGTAGGCGATTCTTTTTTTTGCTTATCTATTTTGAAGAGTAGGTGGCAATTCCTCAGATCTCTCTTGGAAGGCTGCTGTAAAACCCCTGTGCCCTGGAGATCTCTCCTGCCAACTCACCCTTCATTACAAGAAAATGTAATTGTTGACTCAAACACGATACCATTGGGTGTGTGGACAGAGCCATAGAGGAGTTCTCCAGGACTCACACATGATTTACCTACAGGGGAAAACAAAACGACAGGATTTGGGACTGGAATTTGAGGGACCTTTGGTGTTTTATATTAAATCCCAACCTGACTGGACTTGCTGACTAGCTTATTTATTCAAAGACATTTTTGACATTTACAAAATTTCTATCTCCCAAGGGAATAGTCAACTCCAGAATCGTATTTGTTTAAAGAACATAGTCTATATTTTGAGTGTGCATGCAAACATAATTTGTGGTGAACCATAATTATAATCTCTCTTTCCCCTTTTTATATTCTGTCAGGTGATGGCATCATTTACCAAGCCTTGTGGCTTAAAAAAAGCACACGTACAGTCACCATTTCCTTTCTGTAACTCATTCTTTATCCCCTGTCCTTAATTCATTTGGTCACCACATTTTAGTGACTGAATTCCAAAACTCTCCAAACCAGCTATGTTATTGCTGCTTTAATCTCTCATTGGATGATTGAGTAACAATATTTCCCTTTCTAACTCTGATGGCTCTTGGTCTCCATCTTCTATGCACATCTACCACTGCACACGTTATCTTTCAGAAGCACAAATGCGGTCATGCCACTACCTACATTTAAAAACTTACAATGTCTTAACCATTGTTGATCGGGGAAAAAAATCATGGACTGTCACAGTTAAGCTCCAATTCGTTTAATCAACTACTATTCCTCACCACGCACCTCGTACTGCAACCACCTGAATTTTTCTATTTTCCACAGATATCATGTTCTTTCATATATTGGTGCTTTTGCATATGCTGTTTCCTCATTTCCTGAATTTCCCTAATTCATCTAGACAGAATTTCTTATTTACTTCTCTATGATCCCATATAAATTTATTTCTATGAATGAGTGAAATCACATCATAGTATAGTATTTGTTTAAAGTCAGTCTTTACAATTAGTAAAGGAATTCTTCACAGGAAAGGACTAGTAGACCTAAGTGATAGGGCTGGTTCTCTCCAGCCCTATCACTTAGCCTAAAGCTTCATACCTTTTAGTTACTCAAAAATATCTCTTGAATAAATGGGGTAAGAATGAAGTGAAACTAATATTCCTTGCATACTAACTTACAACTCACTCTAACACAGTACAGAGAGCATAGAGCAAGTTCATGGAGATTACAGGTAAGCAGGGTTGGCCCGCTGTGATGATTTAACCTCAACACTCAATGCCCTTAGGAGTAAAAGAAAACATGCAGAACCCAGGATCCTCTTCATTAAGAGGACTTACTAATTCGCTGGTTATTTTCTGTGAAAAATAACAGGTTAGCTCACAGAGATTCACTAATAGACCCAAAGATGCCTCTTTTATAGAATACTCACGTTTACAGTTTTGCTGAGGATCTGACCACTGGGAGGTCTCTAGACAGGTGGTAAAGAACGACTTTTTTATATACCCAGGAAGGCATTCATATTGCAAACGTGTCCCAACAGCAAACTCAGACCGATCACTCCTAACTTTAGGCTTAGCATAAGGATAGCTTGGCAGGAACTTACACTGACCTAGAGACAAAACCACAGGAATATCAAAGTAAGAGAGGCTAAAACTTGCACTCTGCTTCTGCTTTGTCACCAATATACTGACGACTTTAATCTTTAGAAGGTAAACCTAAAATGGGCCAAAAATTTCTGGCACAAAACAACAACAACAGATCTTGCAGTTAGGGGTGCATACACAAAGAAATAAGCTCAGAAGTTCAAAGACATTTTAGGCTAGATTTTAGAGATTTTACTAAGAGATGGAGAAAATCATTTTTCATAAAATTCCATAGATACCCTGGAGTAGTTTTATATTCTTTCAACCTCATAAATAAAAATGAAAACCTTACAAATAAAAAGTTTTCCGGGATAGCAACGGAAACTCAAGTACATCAGAGACCTTATATGCTGAGCACATGTTGGATTCTCTAACATTACTTTAATGAATTCATATTACTATCTTAGAGATTAAAACTTTAGGTCCTACCAATAAAAAATGTTTATTATTCTTTATGATTGTATTCCATTAGCCTAGTGGAATAACATGCTCTCTAAGAGAGCTTAGTAATTTCTTCCTGAATGGTACTAGGTAAAAGGAACTAGTCATTTCAAGTCAGTTCCTGTTAGTTAAATAATAATAATATTAATGACGAAGCAAATTTTATCCTAGGAGATAGATTAAGAATCTGTGATACCCATATACTTGAGGATATGCCTGGAAAACTTTTAACTCCAGAATGGCAGTATATTTGAACATGAAATTTATTAATTATTTTTTTCAAATGAGTCTGAGACAGATACAGGCGAAAGTCAAAGAAAAATTATGGACTGACACAAAGGCAGAGCTCCCAAGGCTGTAGCCAGACCCAGCCTTTTTGCAGCCCAACACTCCCGTGGGAGAAGTCAGAGAGCCTGGGTTAAGAATAGCCATCATTATTGGTACCCAGACCTCACTGCAGGTCTCCTTCTGTTTCTTCCCTGAATTGCTTTAGTTTCCTCTATTAACACCTACAAATGTTTCCTAGTGCAGGCCTGTGCCAAACAGCAAGACTTTCTAGGAAAAGACAGGGTTTGACCTACTTCATGACCATGACATTACTTGTGCCAATGGACTCCAAGCAAGTGATTTAACCTGCAATTATCCAGTTTAAATAAGGACAATGCCAAATAACTCGCTACCAGTTGGAAAGCCAATGTAAGTCCATACGATTTAATCAGCAGCAACGATATGGTGTAAGGTTTTGAAGTATTAAAAGCAGAAAGGTACTTTATAGCATGGCCTTCTGGAGTGAAAGGAGATTAGAATAACACTTCCCAGATGGAAAATAGTGGGAAATGTGGGAAATTTTTATCCCAATTAGGACAATTTGGGACTCTTTCTCTTTTGGCAGACACTAGCTCTCATTAGTCATGAAACTGCCAAAATCCCCGATCAGAGACAGAATTTCCAGCAATCATGTTCTGTTCCATATCAGAAAAGGGAAGGTTAGTCGATGAATTATTAAGTAATACAAATTTTCTTAATCCTGCAGGTATCTTCCTAAAACCCAGAATAAAAATCAGAGTCGATCATGACTGGACCTAAAATAGAAGATAGTGGCAAGACATTGACATAGCCATCCCTTAAACCATGGTGAAAACTAACGAGGCGAAACAGTTTCTACAGAACCAAGATACATTGAACTTTTTATTTGGATCCAAGGGGATTTACCTAGAATGGCTTAGAAATCCATTTGAAATTAATGGAGAATAACTGTAGAGGATAATAAAAATAAAACCAAAAATTCAGTCGGAAAACAGGTAGGAGAAATTATCATTGCGAATTATTATAGTCAAATGCCTTAACACTGGCTACTTGATCATTTTTGAATGACGGTTATGAATATTAACCAAGGCACTGTCCTCAGCACAGGAGATGCATCAATGAACAACCACATTTTAAGACAGAGGCCTACAGCAGGGATGGATTTGCTACACTTTAAGATGGACAAAAGGATGCCCTGACTAGTTTCGCTCAGTGGATAGAGCGCCGGCCTGCAGACTGAAGGGTCCCAGGTTCGATTCCAGTCAAGGGCATGTACCTTGGTTGCAGGCGCATCCCCAGTGGGGGGGGCGGGGGTGCAGGAGGCAGCTGATCTCTCTGATGTTTCTAACTCTCTGTCCCTCTCCCTTCCTCTCTGTAAAAAATCAATAAAATATATTTTTAAAAATCAATAAAATATATTTTACAAAAAGATACATGAAAGGCAAGTGTGGCTGGAATGCAGTGATCAGAACAGAGTGGCATGAGATCCAGTGAGAAGGCTCTGAAAGGATGGATCACAGGGGCTCTTCAGGCCACAGGAAGATGTCTGGATGTGATCCTGAGTTGAATCCTTGGAGAGTTCAAACAGGAGAGTCATGTGGTCTGATTTACTTTTTAAAAAGAATAGTCTGGCAATTGGGTGGAGAATGGACTGAACTTTTACTTTCAGGAGCGAAGAGTGCAGTCTGGAGGCTGTTATAGTAGTTCAGACAGAAAAGTGAGGCTTACACCACAGAGAGATAGTGAGAAGTGGATGAAATTCGGCATGTATTTAAAAAATAGAATTAAGACTTTTTGTTACACAAGAAAATGAGAGGATTTAGTAATAACTTCCAGGCTTTTCACTTGAGCGACTGGGTTGATGGTAATACCATGTACTAACTAAGATGGGAAAGAACCAATTTTTTTGCTTTTGGGGTGTGTGTGTGTGTGTGTGTGTGTGTGTGTTAGGGTGCTGTAGGAACAAAATTGATTCCACTTTAGATTTGGTATATTTAACATACTTACTAGGTCTCCAGATGGAGATGCCAGGTAGGTAGTTGGATGTACAAATTTGCCACTCAGGAGATAGGTCAGGACTATAGATAATGAGTCATTAATATATAAATAGTATTTAAAACCATGAGACTGGATGAGATCTCTTAGGAAGAAAAAAGCGTTGAGCCTCCAGACCCTGGAATATTTAGAGATAGAGCAAAAAGGAACAAGAGCAGCCAGGGAGGTACAGAAAACGCAGTGTCTTGCCTTGGAAAACGGGAATGGGGCTGTTTAAGGGGCTGGAAGGATTCAGCTTTTGCTAAAAGACTGAGAAAGACAAGAATAGAAAAATGACCACTGGATTTGCCAGCATGGAGGGCAGTAGTAACTTTGCTGGGAGCAGCTTTTGGAGATTGGGGGGGGAAGAAGCCTGTGTGGAGTGGGTTAAGGAGATAACGTCATGTGAGCAAGTAGTCGATGAGTTTTGCTGAGAATGATGAGAAGAAGGGCAGACAAATGCAGCTCCACGGTGTCATGAGAAGTCCCCCTTCCCAAAACAGAAGACGTCCCAGGGCATGTTTAACTGCTGATGGGCTTGAGCCAACAAGTGGTATAAATGCAATGATGCAAGTCAGGGACATCTGCAGAAGTAAAGTCCTTCCAAAGCGAGAGGGGATGGAAGGTGATCATGAACACAGGAAGAGGAGTTGACTGTCAGCAGAAAGAATACCTTTTCCATTGTTACAGGAAGAAAAGAACTCTTTCTTTCTTTCTTTCTTTCTTTCTTTCTTTCTTTCTTTCTTTCTTTCTTTCTTTCTTTCTTTCTTTCTTCTTACAGTACTACAAATAGTAGAACATCTCTCTCCTTTTCCCCCCATTGACCTCCCCCCGGCCTTCCCCACCACACCTTCCCCCAGCATTGCCCTCACACCCCCCCCCCCGCCCCACTAGGGGCTGTGTCTATTGGTTATGCTTATATGCATGCATACAAGTCATTTGGTTGATCTCTTACCGCCCCCCCCCCAAGCCTCCCCTACCTTCCCGCTGAAGTTTGACAGTCTGTTCGATGCTTCTGAAAAGAACAATCTTATTGAACTCCTAGTTATATGCTCATTCTAGAATTCTTTGGGTAATGAAACAGGTAAAGGTCTTGCTCCACTGGAACCTGTATTCCAGCGAGGGAACAAGCCCCAAACAAGTAAATAAGTAAACAAGAATGTTTTGTATGATAATGGGGCTCCTTGGGAAATAGAATGTGGTTATGTGACCCAGAGTGACCTGGGGGAGGACTGCTTCAGGTGAGAGTCAGAGAAGTGTCAAGGTGAAGCTGAGACCTGATTGTCCAGAAGGAGACAGTCAAGACGATCTGTAGGAATAGCATCTCAACAGAGGGAACACCTAGTGCAAAGGCTAAACAAACGTTGAATGCATGCAAGGAATGGAAAGAAAGTCAATGTGGCTGGGG